AGTACATTAGTCAGCACAGGGACTAGTGAGCAGGAAGGGCCGCTTCACATCTCAGTCCATTAGTCATCACAGGGACTAGTGAGCAGGAAGGGCTGGTTCACATCTCAGTCCATTAGTCAGTACAGGGACTAGTGAGCAGGAAGGGCCTCTTCACATCTCAGTACATTAGTCAGCACAGGGACTAGTGAGCAGGAAGGGCTGGTTCAGATCTCAGTCCATTAGTCAGTACAGGGACTAGTGAGCAGGAAGGGCTGGTTCACATCTCAGTCCATTAGTCAGTACAGGGACTAGTGAGCAGGAAGGGCTGGTTCACATCTCAATCCATTAGTCATCACAGTGACTAGCGAGCAGAAAGGGCCGCTTCACGTCGCAATTCATGGGAACTCTAATGTACTTGCACAAATTTCACGAGTTTGTGCATAATTCAAAACGTGCTTTTTTTCTTTCTCCTGCGGCGTCAGCGAATGTATTTGGTAACCGAGAAGTAACGGGTCCGAGAAACTGGGACTGCAGCTCAGGCGCGGACTCCGTGCGCAGTCTCTGAACGGCGCAGACACAGAGAGGCTCGCTCGCTTGTGGCTCCCTGCCCCCTCCTGTGGCTTTTCAGACGGGGCCCGCGATGTAGCTGCGCGGAGCAGAAGGCAGTAAAAGCATCCGGGCGGATTTTTGACTCCGTAGTGAGGGGGCTGCTCCATCCATGGGGTGTCCGCTGCTGCTGGCTGGCTGGCTCTGTTGTGGTTTAGGCTTAGGCTGCACTACCGCGGCCGTCCACCGGGGCCCCATGCGGCAGTAGAGAGCAGCCTGCCCTGAGAGGTAGAGTCCTGTTACTGCGCAGTACAGCACACGTGTTGGGTTACAGCTATGAGACCCCTTAGGGATCCTTAGGGATCACCGCAAGAGGCTGTTTTTCCAAAAAGGAGGGTGGAAGAAGTGGGGGGGGGGCCTTCAGCAACCCTGAAAACATGACAGGAGAAAATGACACACTTAATCGTGGCAGGCAGTGGTAACTGGAACTGGGTTATTCACTTCTTGTTTTCAAGCTCACTTGCAGTCATTGGGTCTCTCGAAAAAATCCTTTCAAAGCGGTTTCTAGTTCCTGTTTTTGTCCACGGAGGTCAAAGGAACGCGCACACGTCAGCGACGCGTCCCATCGGGGCGCAAAACGACGCACAAGCGCGCACTGCGCAGGGAGAGACAGATCAATGCTTTTCCGCTGCCGTTCCTATTAATCGGCAGCAATTTGGAATCAATTTCCACAACGATGACTGATCAAGAGCAATCAGGGGCCGATTAAGCAGAGCAACGCATCATCCTCGTTAGTGTGTCTGCTCCCTGCCCGTCCACACAGGGACTGCCCGATCAGCGCCGAGCTGAAGGCCTGGGCATCTCTCCTTGAGCAGCAGGTGAAAGAGGAGACGTGGGGGCTGTTTCTGAAGAAAGAGTCCTTGACGTTGGGCAGCTTTTACTAAAATCGATCTTTCATTAACAGCACGTTTCTGTCTCTCTCTGTGTCTCTCTCCCTCTCTCCCCCCACCATCCCCTCTTCCTCTCCTCGGCCATTCTCTCCCCTGGCAACCCCTTCCCTCCCTGCATTCCTCCTGCTTCTCCTCCTCCCACCC